ATAGGGGAAACCCTACTTTTACTAAAGGTGGGTGAGGCTGAACTGCCTGGTTTTCCTGTTGCTCACATCTACATTTCAAAACTTAAATAACAATGACCTTCTTAATGTAAACCAAATCTGAACATAAGACATTTTTACCATTTTCCTTTTTACATCATCTTTTTAGTTATAAACTAGCATCACAGTTGATACTTTCCTCTTCATTTCATTTAAACAGCTTTTTTTTAACATGTAAGGATCAAACATCTTCCCATGCCTAATGAAGCACACTCTAAAGGAGTGTCTTTGACTGTGAGATAACCTGGAATTCAATAGAAATTACCTTTCTGGGCATCCCCACCTTTTTTCTAATTGATTCCTCCACCCAGGCATCCCTGAGTAGCCTTCTCCAGAGCAGGTGGATGCTCCTGTTGGAGAGAAGGGAGACAAGATCCCACCAGCCTATCCATCCTCGAACTGGTGCATGATTCCTATCTTCTGAAACATCTCACAAACCCTTTACTTACTCTTATTGAATGTGTGTAAGTTACAGTTGGTCTGGTGACCTGAATGTCTACAGAAAGAAGCATTAACTTTGGCATAAAAGGTCAGGTAGAAGTGAGCACTTCTCAGGCTACAAAGATCACTTCTAGAGATAGATAGAACCGTTGACTGGAGAGATTTGGCTCCATGCACTGAACCAGTCTCCAGACACTTGGTTTCCATCTGATCACCTAGGTAAACATTTCTAGCAACTAAACAAGATTGAACCTTGGAACTCACAGGTGAAACATATTTATCATCTAGCAATCATATTTTATATGTTGTTAAAGACAATATAGCTGGCAAAAATCTTATTCTTAGTTAACACATAAGGCGCAGATGCAAACTTCCCCTGATAACCACTATTGTAAACTGTCTCAGCCTTATTTCTGAATAGTGACCCATTAACTTGTTCTACTGGAAAGCTCAGGTAGAAGTCCTACTTTACTAGCAGAGAGAGAAAAAGTACAATAGGTAAGCGGAGATCTTTCAGTGGCCAGGGGCCAGTTTCCACCAAGGAACCTTCGGGTTTGGCGCCTTCTCCCCTCAGGCATTCTTGGTTTCTTTTGGCCCACAAAACCAGAGATGTCTCCAGAAAGGAATCCAGCAGTTTCTCTGGTCAACATTCCATCAGCCAAAGGCTTCAATGGGAATTCACCAAAGAACAACTGGGGAAACCTGTCCTCTGCTTCAAAGAGTGGCAGCTGCTCTAAGAGCATTTACTAGCTGGCAGAGTAACCACTGTTTGTAAGTTCTATAAGGGATAGCTAAAAGCCTCAACAAGATTACCTAGTAGTAAAAGTTTTAAAGTCCATAACTTATCTCTTATGTACATAAATGATAACCAGACCTAGGAGAAAAGTTCGAATCCTCCTTCACACTAAAGGTGTTTTAGTCCCATAAATGTGCTGCTTTTGGAGGTAGCTCCTTCTAATGTCACCCAGAAGTCAGTTCTCTCCACTGCGTCTCAGGTTTAGTCTCCCAAAGGAGACCTGCCCAGAAGGAGACCTGCCCAGAAGGAGACCTGCCCAGAACACTAAGCAGGGACACAGCTTTTATATGTGTTCTCCTGGATGGGCATAGTTCTCTTTGTCTCATCTGACCCAGAGACGGGGTATGTGTCCTTTATCTAAAATGACTTCTCTGTCTTTGGCGATAACAAACACTCATTTTCTAAGGGTTTCACTTAGTTGGAACAGTCAGAGTTTTCCTAATTTTACATGCCTCTAAAAGGGAAAGTACAAAGAGGTGGGAAAATTAGGAATAAAGTCAAAGCAAAGAAATTGAAACAGATCAGGCCTGACATTCCCTCTAGCATGTAGAGGGGATCAGAATCAGTCTATCCCAGTGAAATCTGTCCTCCAAGTCTTTAAGAACGGTTGCTGACCTAATGTCATTTAACTGGCAAAAGGAGTCCAGTGTTTCATGTACAAGCATGTATATTTTCTAAATCTGACCTGGGTAGAAGGTCCCATTTTACAGAAGTTTATATAAAATCCACTAGAAGGCTTACTAACATTACTCGAATGCTATGGTCTAAAATCGAGCAAGGAATACCAGTACATTTAGTCAACCAGTTCAAACACAACGTATATGAATACACAACAGTCATAAATTGTCCCATTAATGAAATATCATGAACTTGTAACATTTCCACATTTTAACTTAAGATTTACCGACAACATTTTGACCAACATTTTACCAACAATATAAGAGACAAAACAGAGGCAATTGTAAGCAATTTTAACAGTACTATGTGAAGCAAAACTGCATGAGGCAAAACATGAACATTATGAG